ATCAAATAACTGTTTTAATGTATCTTGGTACTTAAATTCATGAAAATATTTAAATTGAGAGGATGGAGAGTATGCTGAGTTCCTACCTCAGCTGTCTTGATGGGATCACCTCTTGTGCTCATATTAAAATGTGCTGGGCACTATCACTGTCATCTTCCTAATATTAAAATGAAGTTATCTTCCAAGAAAGTAGAAAAGGCTATGAAGACATCAGGTAAGACAAAGAGGCCTAGAAAAACCCATACAGTAGTTGAAAGTCATAAAGCGTAATGAGAAATGAGCGCAGAAAGGCATAGCCATGCACACAACTCCATCTCACCATGTCCATGGTTCAGTTATATGCAGGAAAAAAAAGAAAACTTATGAAAATCTTCTTGGATCTGAAAATCTTCACTGGGTAAACTGAGCATGAATAATTTTGAAAAACTGAAGAAATACCTTAGGTAATAAGCTGATAGCCATAAATAGCGTTTGAAATACAATATTACACAGAATTTTTGGTGGGTGGTTATGTTATGGACTCCAATAACAGATGTACCAACTGGCAAAAGCCACTTTTGCTCCTGTGCCTTTAAAAGCCCTGAGCACCACTTACTAGCAGATCACTGAGCTGAGGGCTCCCTACGGTGAAGCAGTAGGAATGAAGCGTTCCTTCTACATTTTAGCCGTTTTCCTGTTGAAACAGTATTTCAGTGCTTCAATTATATTTGGATAAACTGTTCAAGGATTTTAGGTGTGACTGTTATTTTTCCCATTTCAAGCTTAAAAATATATAGGCTCTCCATATCCAATTAAGTTTCAGAAATGGATTAGATAAGAATAGTGACAGATACCTGTATTTGTTTTCCATGGAACCAGATCATTTTTTTGTGTATTTTGGTACTCAGATTGTGGTCCTTGTATCAGCAGCATTGGTATCACCAGCAGGCTGGCGAGAAATGTTGCTCCTTGGGTTCTGCTCCAGATTTACTGAACTAGAATCTGTACTTTAAGAGGATCCCCAAGTGACCTGTATGCATATTAAAGTTGAGAAGCTCTGGCCTAGTGAATAAAGTTGGTTGCTCAATTAGCATACATTCCTACTTTCCTCCTTACTTAACAGATCCCTAATTATATTATTATTATTATTATTATTTAAATATAGAATCTATCTCTTTTCCATGAAGTCATGTCCTTCAGAGGAAGCTGACCACCTCTCCTGATTCCCATCCCTAACTCCAGGGTGAGTCTCAGCAGCTAGGGATAATCCCATTCCCCTTGCCAATGACTATTTTAGGAATGGGAGTGTAACCCAGCTCTGGCCAATGAGACATAAGTGTAAGTCAGTTGAGAGTGCTTCTTTAAAAAGTTTCTACCATTCCAAGAGAGGCAGAGGAAGAGACAGTTTCCCTTTCTCTGGACACTGTCATGTCTGGATGTGAATACTAAAAATTGCTGCAGATATCTCCTAGCAGCCTAAGAGTGAAGCCAATACCAGGGCTGAAGGAACACAGTGGTAGTCGCTGGGCCCCTAAGGACACCTTTGAGCCAATGAATCAGTCAACAGTCAACTCTTGTCCATCTCTGGACTTCCTGTTATGTGAGAAACGTTGTTTCATTAGGAATTTCTGTTTCTTGGATCCAAAATCATCCTAACCAATACAAATAGACAGTCACTGATGTCTCTGAACAAAAAGCTCAGGTGTCACAGACTATTTTCCATTAGATGGTTTTTTAAAGCCTGACAATTCCAAGAGTCAAGTGTTTTCTTCCTAAATAAGGTTTTTATTAACTGTGTCCTCTCACTCTCATTTGGAGAATAGAGTGGTGCTTATAATTTATGGAATCAAATAGTACATATTAAAAAAAAAATGGAAGAGTGGGCCCTTAAAATGAAAATCACAAACAACTTAGTCAAATAAGACCATATTTTAAAAAGGAAATAAAACCTTAAGTCACATTATACATTGTTACAATATCTTCTGTAATGCTATTTCTTTCCAATATCCATATTCTTACTTTTTAACCTAATTTCATAAGAAAATTTTATAAGATACATTATAATGCCAAATGTTAGGCTGCTACTTTTAAATCATATAAATATTAGTATTACCTCATCAGGTGGATTTTTATGGCTTAATTTCAACCACCTTCCAATTTTTGCATTAAAAATATGATTTCAAAAAACAATCCTGTCACTTCAAGGAAAACAATTGACAGTATTTATGGGCAATAATAAAACCTGAACATGTTAGCAAAATTAGAATTTTTGGTAAACTTGAGTTTGACAGCTTCCCAAGAGCTGTCTAATCAGATTGGTAGTGATAGCAACAACTATGATTTCTGTACAGTGTATTCTGAAATATGTCAACATCTGTAAGCTCAGAGAACCAGTATTTTCCAAGTAACCTATCCATCATATTACAAAATCTTTCAAAATGTAACAGATCAATATATTTTAATATAATAGACTACAACTTAATATTAGTTTCAAATTTCCCATTGCAACTAACATTTAGGAAAACTACAACCTGTGGAATATTGGTGTGGTAGCAAAGACTATCTAAAATTAACTGAAAATGCTTCTTTATTTTCCAATCATGTTATCTATGTGAGGCCAGATTTTCTTCATGTACTTCAATCAAAACAATATATCACACTAGTTGTTGATGCAGAAGCTGATATGAGAATCCAATGATCTTCTACTGCCAGGCATTGGCAATTAGCAAAAATCACTAATTTTTTGGAAATATAGTTATGCTTCATAAAACATGTTACTTATGTTAATATATAATGGATTTATTACTACTATTCTTTAATAAATATTTTTTAAATTTCTGATTTAATTTTCTAATATGGTAAACAGAAATCTAAAAGAGATGAAGATAGATGCAGTTTTCAACTTGATTAACCATCAATCTGATGAATCATACAAACGACCATACAGACTGGAAAGTGGCCATAAGAATTTTTTTAATGTGGAAATTGTAAAACTGGACGGCTTGATGAAAAATTAGAGATTTTCCCTAGAGAAGAATATTAAATATATTAAAGGTTATAATACAAAAGGAGGCACAGACTTACTCTATGTATTTCATGGGTAATTGCTACAAAATCAAATTTCAGTGAAACTTGAAATACATTTCCTAACCATTACAGTGTGCAACAACAGAAGCTTCTTCTGTTTCTTTAGTTGACAAATATTGTCTAGTATATGCCAACACTTGCTAGATTTAGGGATTCTAGTAAGGAATAAGAGTCTGCCCTCATGTTGCTTACACTCCAGTGGGAGATAAGCAAATCTACACTAATTCCAGGGTCCAATAAGCAGTCTGATGGAAGGAAACAAACTTGTGACAGAGAGGCAGGGGTCGAGGGTATGAAGCTACTATAGACAGAATGTTAAGAAAAAGTCTCTCAGAGGAGGTGATAAATAAGCTGAGGCCTGAGAAAAAGGAACAGCTTACGCAAAGGAAAAGGACGACAGCAAGTGCAAATGCCCCCATACAAGTAAGTGCAAAGTGCTCGGAGAACAGTGAGGAAGCAGTGCAACTGGAGCAAAGTACAGGAGATTTGTAAAAAGGAGATGTACATCCATATGAGGTAGAGCAATGTTCTCATCAATCGTAACAGCAGACTAGACCAATTGCATCAGTATTCATGTTTTAATAGTTTGTTTTATAATTTGTTTTAACAGTTCTCCAGATGACACTAATGCACTGCCTGGATGATAATCACTGACATTGAGTCTGTTAGGCTATGAGATGGAATTTGGATTTTATTCTTAATATAAGAGTAAGCCCACTGAAGAGTTAATAAAGAAACTAGTAAGACTGGTATACTTTTTAAAAGATCAGTCTGGTTGTTAGCAGAAGCAGCAGAGGGGCAAGAATATAAAAACAAGCCTCAGTCCTGAAAATTTTAAAAGACTGAATGAGCATTTATCAGGAAAGATATACTGAGTGGAGGCTTCGCCACTAGGTGGTGATGGCCAATGTGGAGAGTCCCATTTTTGTGACACACTATACAGTCAATAGATATAATCAGAGCAAAGGAAAAAGAAAATCTACAGAAGAGGGAATAGTCACAAGTATAAACTGCTCCAAAACACCCTTTATCAGTCTATGAGTTATTTGACTAAATAAGGGATTTATTTATGCTTACATTGCCACCATACATAAATTATGAAGCTAAAGATTTATTCTTTCAAATAACATTTCAAACAAAAACAGAAAATCCTATTTACAAAAATGTTATCTTCCACTGACTTAAAACCTAACCTGCGAGTCCAGTATTTTTACCGTTTATATTACTAAGTAAAAAGGAAAGTTTTGAGCTGCTTTTATTTTACCTGGAATATACTGTTCCTTTCAAACTAAATATGAATAACAATAAATTGATATAGAAATACAGCAATAACATTTACTCTAGTTTAAAAATATTTATATTTTAAAGCAACTGAAACTTGAATGATGCTATTTCATCAACTAGTAATTATTTTCAAGTAATGTTCTCTAGACTTTAACTTAAAATCTGAATAGTATCCTATAGTTTACCCTGAGTTCTTTCATTTGCCAGTATTCTTGCCCCTTTTCCTGGTATGAAAGACAATAGATCAGTTTATTTTAATCTCGATGCTGTTACGTTTCTTAAGGAAGAAAGTAAAATATACCTAACACTAATGTCTCTTATCAAACGTGGGAAAATCTGGCTCCGCTTCTCTCATTTGTTACCCATTTGGTCCCTTCTAGGAATTTTGAATTTGTATAGCACGAAAAAAAAAATTAGTGTGAAGTAGTTTCTAGTATTAGTTGATTAGCTTTGCAATAATATCAGTGATGATATTCCTGATATTTTTTATGGTAAAATGGAATATTGGTAAAGTTATGATAATATCAATTATCCCAAATAAAACATTTCTACTAGAAAAATTAATGCAAATTCATATCATTTAATATTTAAGCTCAACATACTCTTAATATTTAAATTCAATACCATTTTTAAAAAAAGAAGAAAATTACCTTTCAAAAGATGATTCAGGTCCATTGTGTCATGTAAGGCCTTTTGTTTATATCTGTGGTCTAAAGCGGAATCTAACACTGCTGATTTCGAGGTAACATTGGACCCAAGTTTTTCTTTCCCTTTTTTGGGCGATTTCAAGGATTTTGAATTATTTTTTAAATCTTCAACACTTCCACACACTTCTTGACTCACGTTTTCTTGCCTTTTAACTTTTACTTTTTCATTGTTTGATGCGCTCAGTTCAAAAGACTGAACAGGGCTGATGTCTGGAGTTGATAAAGGAGTGACATCTGTCACAGTATCTTCAGATTCCTCAGTGTAGTCACAGACTTTTGGTTTAGTACTCGAAGACTGTGTTCCTGCTGATTTTATTCCTTGTTTATATTTCTGTTTTGGTGACAAGTGGGTGACACCAGAGAGGTGTTTCTTTAATGACGGAGATGAATCAGATGTACAGATATCAGACTCTGGATCTGAACAATCTGTACCTGAACTTGAAGATGAGGAGGACAAAGAAGAAGAGGAACTACTTTTGGGATACTTTTTGCTTATGCCTTTTTTAAAGTTATTAGATGGTTTAGCTGACTTGGACCTGACATGTTTTTTCCCATCATCACTGCTTTCCTCTCCATCTGTATAGTAATAATCATCTTCGCCTTCTTTTACAATTTTGGAAACTGTAGTTGGAATGTTCAAGTGTATTTTATGTCCTGTTGTAACAGGACACATTTTTTTTGATCTTGAAGAAGTAGTCAATGTTAAAGAATTCCTGGTTTGTGTACTATTATTTTCTACAGGGTGTTCTTCTGGAGGAATTTTCTCTTTTCTTTCATTTCCTTTCTCAGTAAGATCCTTTTCTTTTCTATGCATTCCAAATTTCAAGTTTACATTTTCCGTATCTTTGTCTATTCTCTCTTCATGGTCACCATTATGCCTGTCAAAAACTGAGTTACTTTCACTTTTCTTTGCTTCTTCAAAGTCACTGTCAAAGAAAGAATGGTCTACTTCACCTTCTGATATATCTCCAAACCGATCCATGATGGCAAAAATATATCTGAAAAGGAGGAAAATGTAACCATCAGACTAAAGAGTAATTTCAAAATTGTTTTCATTTTTATGTAGTAATTCATCATTTTTCCAAACCAAGAAGTTAGGTTAATATATGAACCCCCCAAAATCACCAAAAAAAAAAAAAACCCAGTGAAATGACAGGAGCAATATCAAGTATCAATAATTTGAAAAATAGGTCCAATAATTCAGTTCACAAGAAAATAATAGATCAAAGCAGTCATATCACATACCCTAAGGAAAATCTGCCTTACATAAATTAGGTGCAGTTAGAGTTTAAAATAATAAAGGATGGAGTTAAAACCTCATTCAATCAGCTAAGCCAGCCCGAACACATTATTTAAGTGGATGTAGTTCAATGAAGATTGACAAACTTCCCCATTTCAGTACTTGTCTTTGCCCTATTCTGCTCCTTCACTGCAGTTATTGAAGCAGCAGCAGAAAGGCGATACCTATTAAAAGTAAAAGTTGCCTCTATCCCTTCTTATAGGGGAAGAAAAACTTAAAAGCATACACATAGGCTGTACAGGTAGCTCGGAGTCAAACCTCTAAATGTTTAATCACAAACTGTGACATAACCACATATGGAAGATGACAAGGGAAGAGTATATACATATGTATTATTGTATTAAAGAGAGTCTGGTATAAGAGATATTTCATAGTAAATTGTCTAAAATGGAAAAATAAAAGCATATTATTTAGATACATGGAGTTAAATATTAGAATAAATGGATAAAAATATTCAAAGTAGTTGCCTCTAGCATGGTGCAAAAACCACTGTTTGGGTTATAGGCCTTAGATTACTAGTTGAATTGTAATTTACATATATATATATATATATATATATGGTGCTCTGATTAAAAAATTATATTGGGGGGGTCAGCTGAGTGGTCCAGTTGGTTAAGAATTGGCTTGGGAGTGTGAGCTCTGACCAGCAGGGCTGTCAGTTCGGTTCCCACATGGGCCAGTGATGCTGCGCCCTCTACAGCTAAGATGGTGAACAACAGCTTGACCTGGCGCTGGGCTGCCGTGAGTGGCCAGCGACAGCATAGGCTGCAATGGGGCTGCAGTGGGCTGCTGTGAGTGGCCGGCAGCCAGCATGAGCGGCTGGCAGCCGGTGAAGCTGCAGTGAGCTGCTGTCCATTGGCTGGCGAGCGACTGCCTGAGCTGGGAAGAGTGCAGTGATCATAATACCAACATGGGCCAGTGAAGTGGCGTCCTCCACAACTAGACTGAAGAACAAAAGGGAAGCAACGTGTCTGTTCCCCTCCCCCAATTCCCCAATAAAATCTTTAAAAAAAAAATTAAAATTGATTTAAAAATATTTTAATACTTTATACAGTTGGAATTAAATTAGAAACATCATTATGAAGTCAAGGCCTTTAAAAAATATTTTTCTTTCTCTTATTGGTCTTAGTAGCAGCGCCACAATTCCTATTACTAATAATCTCGCATTCAGAATTTAATCTCTAATACTATTCTAAATAAATAAATAAATAAATTTTAAAAATCAGGAACTTGGAAGGCAGCTGATTCCATTTCTGGAGGCAAAAGACAAACAACAACAGAAACCCAAAACAAAACCAAAAAAACAAACAAAAATACTCAAGAAGGGCCTGGAATATCTTATTGTTGCCAGAAAGCACAATATTCTAATATGCCTGGGGGAGTGGTAATAAAACAAAGAATCCAGTTCAAAGGGGCTTGCACTTTCCAAGACGAACAATTTAGCACTGAAAAACAAAAACACAAAATACACATAAAAATTAAAAAGTAATTCTTTGGAAAATCATCAGTTCATAATGATATTCAGAAAGGGCAAACAGTATGAGTTATGTTAAAAAAAAGGAATACATAAATTTCCATAATAACACATAGCTAACAATCCAATTATGGCTCACTATATTCATATGATTAATTCCATTATATCCAATCAAGCAATAAAGATTAAATCAGCCATGACAATCTGCAGCCTTTAGTTAAGTGACTCTGCAATTTATAAAAACAAGTATAGACATGATTTTAAAATCAACCAAACTTATACTATTAATACTAATACAATAAATTAATAGGTTAAAGTATATGTGGTAATACATTTTATCATCATTGGATAATTTGTCTGCCTTTAAGTTTTTTAAAAATTTAAGAGATTCTGATGTATTAAACTTATAAAATTTTAAGTTTGTAATGCACTTTTAAATGCTTAAGGGAATCTGATTAAATCTTTAAGTTTAGAATGATTAGGTTTATAAACAACATCTAAGTGTTTGGGAAGATTTCCTTCATTCAGTCTTCTGTAAGTATGCCTTGTCAGGTGTTAGAGGTATTTAAGAAAATCAAATATAGTAAAATCATAATTGTGCTGTTAAGCACATTTTCAAATGGTGTACCATATTCAGGGATATTTAAACTAAGTGAAAATTAAAGTACAAGTGAATTTTAAAATTCTAACACATCATTGGATATAAACTGAAACAAGATGTGTTAAGTAAATCTTAAAGATTTAAGAAAAATTAGATAAAACTTATACCTAATAAATATTAAAATACAAGAAATATTATTTCCCCTAACAGATTAATGCCCTAAATCAGAGATTCCCACCCACCCCTCCTTGGGTTCGATTAATTTGCTAGAACAGTTCACAGAATTCAAGAATAGCCATTTACTCACTAGATTATCTCGATTTCTTACAAAGGATATTGAGGAACACCAATCAACAGCCAGATGAAGAGATACGTAGGGCAAGGTCCCAAATAAAGGAGCTTCTGTCATTGTGGAGCTTGAGGTTGGCACAGTGGCACATGGAAGCACTCTGAAAAAGAATATCCTCCAGGGTTTTTATGGAGGCTTCCTTCCATAGTCATGACTGACTAAATCATTGGCCACTGGCAATTCAATCTCAGCTCCTCTCCCTTCCCAGAGGGTGAAGGCGGGACTAAAAGTTCCAAACCTCTAACTTGTTGGTTCTCCTGGCAACCAGTCCTCAACCTTGGGTGGGGTCCAAAAGTCACCTCATTAACATAACAAAAACACCAGAATCACTCTATGCTTAGGAAATTCCAAGAGTTTGGGGAGGTGTTAGCCAGAAAACCTGGACCAAATATCTTATAAATTACAATATCACACAGCCCCACTCACAGGTTTAAATATTGTTTCTGACAGCTTTCTCACCACAATTGTAGAGTTGAGTAGTTATAACAGAGACCTTATGGCCCACAAAACCTAAAATATTTACCAAATGACCCTTTACTGAAGAAGTTTATGAACCCCTGATTTAGGTGATATATCAACATGAAAAATGCAGTTATCCATTGTTATCCATACTGGAATAGTAATTCAATTTATACATTTAAACAAAACCTAGGGGTGGGGGGAAAGGCAAAAATTAAGAGTTGGCCTGTTAGAAGAAAAATCCACAATCCCACTGCATTTTTAATATTTCCATCACTGTTATCATAAGTGTCCATGCAATAAAGCAAATAAGTGATGACTGGGAGTCTGCACAGTGAAAAAGAATGAACTAAGTCAGACACATCCAGGCTTAAACTTGGTTCTGGCAATCCCTGGTTGTGTGTGCCTAGGTACATATACAAGGATGTTCACCACAGCACTGTTACAGCAATGAATTAGAAAAAAACTCAATGTCTTGTAAGAGAAAGATGGATAACCAAATGTTGTATATGATATACCATGTACCAGTCAAAAAGGATAAGTTAAGATCTACAAAAATGTTTACTCAGGGCTGGCAGAGTGGCGCATTGGTTAGGAGTTGGTTTGGGACGCCAGCTCTGAGCAGCAGGGCCCAGGTCTGGATCCCACATGAGGGTCAGTGACACTGCGCCCTCTACAGCTAAGATGGTGAACAACAGCTTGACCTGGAGCTGGGCTGCTGTGGGTGCAGCCACGGCGTATGCTGCAGTGGGGCTGGCGTGAACTTTTGTGAGCTGCCGTGAGCCGCTGTGAGCGGCCGTCCAATGGCCGGTGAGCGACTGCCTCACTGGGGAAGAGCACAATGATAATACCAACATGGGCCAGTGAAGCGATGTCCTCCACAACTAGACTGAAGAACAAAAGGACAGCAACTTGTCTGTTCCCC